CTTTTAGAATGTAAAACAAAAAATAAAATAAAATAAAATAAAATATGAAAAAATCATCGCCCAAAACGCCTCAGATGTTATATTTGGGCGTTTAGAAAGCAACAAATTTTGCGGGGGCATGCCCCTGGATCCCATAGAGCATTGTTGTTTCGATCAGCCCCACCACCCCTTTCTGTCCCCTTTTGGACATCTCTAGATCCGCCCCTCTGTAGGTACTAATAGGTACCTTTCAAAACAGATTCTGCGCCCCTGCACGCACACCCTACCGCCAAATCCTGCATCCGCTCCAGTAAAGGGTGCAGTAGGTCGTGGTAGGCCTACTAAACGAGTTGCATCCCCTGGTCCATGGTCCAAACATGATTTCTTAATGGTTTAACATTATTTACTGTAATTACAGGACTGAAGGAACGTTTGAAAAATGGTGAGACAATACTTATTGCTGAGGGTTACTTGTTCGTGTTTGAACGACGTGGTTACCTCCAAGCGGGCGCTTTCGTTCCAGAAGTGATCATTGAACATCCCGAGCTAGTGAAGGAGCAGCACAGAGAGTTTGTACATGCTGGTAGTGACGTCGTGTTGGCCTTTACGGTAAGCATAATAATAATATGCAGAGATCCCAAGTCTCCACTAGAGGTGGCGCCAGTGGGGGCCCCCGTCGGGGAGAAAAGCCAAAATTCATAGAGGGGTAAAAAAAAAAAAAAAATTTATATGTTGGCCTATTTTTTTACATATTAGTAGAATTGATTAAATAAGCCCTTGAAATCCCTTAATTGTCATATTTTTCTCCTCCTAGAACACTTTCGAGAGATATAGAGCTACGCCAGGATTTCAGTTCAAGGTCCCCGACAGGGGGGGGGGGCTGATGTCCCCGACGTGAAAAAAGTGGACGTGCGCCGTGGTCAGGCGTCGCTAAAAATCTGTCGAACGTAAATATGACAAAATAGTGGTTTTAGGCTAATTTTATCGATTTCAGGGTCTATAATATATGTATGAAAAAAGTATTTGAACGAATATTATTTGGTCGTCAAGTTAGCTATGCTCAATTATAGGGTGGCCATTTCAAAAACTTGAATACCACGGCTTAGAACAACTACTGAGACCACATAGGCCTCACTTGAAATAGTTACGAAGGTTCAGATTACTATTAATATTTATTACTAGCCCAGGTTTATTAGGGGTAGGAAGTGGAATAAAAAACACTCTTTACGATGCACTCTCTGAAAACGTGATTCAGTATACTAATCCTACAATTTTTAATTTTAGATTCAAAATACGGCTTCTGAAATTAATTTAAAACGCCCCCCTCCACTTGCCATAACCCAGGCCACGGTCCTCGGTTGACGCGTCACATTAAATGGCCCGGTAGTTAGTCCTGTACTGGGGCCCGTTCTTACCTAGCTACGCCGCTGTACATTCATGTCTGCTTCAATATTTATTTGTCATAATCATTATTGATGTTTATAGTACTATGCTCACCGAAAAAAAATGCAAGTGATTGAAAAAGAGGCGGAGTTAGAAAGAATAAACCGAGAAGCATTGCGAATTGCAAAAGAAGTTGCGGATGAATCGGGGAAACTTCTGGCAGGAAATATCTGCAACACTGGAGTTTATGAGCCTGAGAATCAAGAGTCGTATGCAAAAACAAAAGCGATTTTTAAGGTGAGACATCTAACAATGGCCTTTCATATGACAACCAGGGGCGGATCCAGAGATTTCCGAAAGTTGGGGCGGAAGTGGGGCCGGTTGAGATAACAGCATCCAAGGGAGTCCGGGAAATTTTTGTTTTCTGGACATGAGAAAATAACCTCTAAGGCGTTTTGGGCGATCAATTTTTTCTTTCCTTTTTTTTTTCTTTATCTTAATTTTCAAAGGGGGAGGGGGTAGTTACGCCATTCCTGTTCGCCCCTAAAATAGGGGGGGGGGGCAAACAGTGTTCCCGAAAGGTGACTGATAGAGAAACAACACTACCCTCTGGGGCGTTTTGGGTGATCAGTAATTCTTTTTCTTTCTTTCCTTTTTTGTTTTTGACTTTTCAAAGGGGTGGAAAGAGAGGGGCCGGCCGGCTCGGTCCTCTGAATCCGCCCCTGAACCCTGTTCATCCAGAATTTTTGAAATGGGGTAAAGGGCTTATTAGTTAATGCTAATTTCACCGACAGCCTGTATTTTATTATCAAATCAATTTTTATTTGGGAAGGGAGTTTTTGTGTTGGTATTGTCTTTACCATCATCATTGTACATGGTTATAATTTGTTAAAACATTTTTATGATTTTAGGAGCAGATTGAGTGGGCTCTTGATTATGATGTGGATTTCATTCTTGCCGAGACATTCCCAACACTTGGAGAAGCTAAACTGGCACTGGAAGCAATTCAGGAATATGGGAAAGGTGTGGCAGTATTTTGAAACATTCACTTCTATTATGCTTCTTTCTAAATTGGAACTAAATAGGGAACTTTCGATTGCACGACGACGGTAGGACGTAGAACGTAATGACGTCACTAACAGTCATCTGCGCATGCGAGAACGTTAAGGTCACCTCGTCGAGTAGATTCTGGAACGCAATTTGGCCAAATTTGATGTAGAGAACGTAGGGCGCCAGGTAGGACGTTCTAGCGTCACGTCGTCGCGCACAAATCGAAAGCATACACCCCAATTTCCTCCCCTTTCCAGGATACCATTTCTTTCTAATCATTAAATATGGATCTATATTAGGGAAGCTTTCGATTTGTGCGACGACGCGACGCTAGAACTGAATCACTCATGCGTGACCGCCCTACCTGGCATCCTACTTTCTCAGCATATTTGGACCTTGGACAAATTGCGTTCCAGAATCTGCTCGACGAGGTGACCTTAACATTCTTGCATATGCGCAGATGACTATTAGTGATGTCATTACGTTCTACGTCCTACCGTCGTCATGCAATCGAAAGCTCCCTATTATTGGTAATGAACTTTTCCAGAGTGTCATGTGAACTCAACTGACCAGTGACAACAGGGCGGGGATTCGCGCATGCTCACATGCAAGTGTGTTTCCCCCTCCCCCATAAAAGCACATGTTTGCATATGTTTTTACACTGTTTTGTGGAACCTTAGCAAAAGTATCCAAGGTGAGGAGCTTAGCAAAAAGGAAAGGTTCACTCTGCCGTAGGTAGGCCTATGCCTATCTATAAATCAATTACACAGATACAAATTTAAAGGTTAAGTTTGCATCTCTGAAATAAATGATTTGACATAATAATATTTAGGTACAACTGCCAAACTTTGCTATCAAACAAAACAAACACACACACACACAAAAAAAAAAGCAATAAATATTACATCTAAAATTAGAGGTAAACATACTCTATGATTGTTTCTGTTTACTAATTAGGCGTTCCATCTGTTGTTACATTCATCACTGCTGGAAAGAATACTATCGATGGAGAAGTTGCCACTCTCGATGGCTTCACGCTGCCGGATGCTTGTAAACAATTGGAAGATGCTGGAGCTGATGTCGTTGGCATGAACTGCTGCAGAGGACCTAACACAATGCTACCCATCATGGAGAAAGTGCGAGCCGTCTGTAAGGTAAGTCATTGTTATAGGTTCCAAGTATTCAACCCGCGGGCCGGAGAAACCCCGGCCCGCCAAAGATTTTGAAGCGGCCCGCACAACATTGCTAAAAATAAGTAATTCTTCCGACCAATTTTCATCACTTACGGAAAAAAATTTTTTCCTGTTAATTAAACACGACCACCTACTCTGGCATTTAAAAAAAATAAGAGTCTGGCTTTTTCTGAGTGCAGCTAACTCTTATCTGGCAGACTGGGGGTGACTAAGTGCGGGGGTAGCAAGAGTCTGACTTTTTGAGTGTAGGTCACTGTATCTAGTAGACTGATAGGATAGGATTAAGTGCGGGGTGCAGGGCGCTGATATGATATGATGCGATGTCACTGCTTTCAAAACATATTTTTACAGTCGGTCGGAAAGCGCAATTTCGTGGAATATGGAGGTGTCTATTTTAAAAATTTACTCACCTCAGCCTCAACCTAGGTGGGACTGATGGTAAATATGGGTCATTTTGGGGTATCAGACTCCTAATCGGGAAATTTCTGGCGCTGACATTGTTTTAACTACTTCGTACATGACCGGATTTTGCTGTGCTCGGAAAATTTCTAGTGGGTGGGTAGGAGAACCTGCAAGTTGTTTTATCCCTGTCCTTCGCTACTTCATTCCCTCATTTTTACAAAACAAGGCCTATCGTAGTACAACACTATAATAATAGGCCTATTAGGAAGACTTGTGGCCTATAAAAGAGAATGGGTGTGGCTTAAAAAGAAGTATACTTTCACAATTTATATCGGCCTTTCGCTGGTCTCAACAAATTGGAACTAGTCACTAGCTAAACATTTTTTGAATATTTGGGTTATAGATATAAATGAGGTTAGGTACTGCATCAGCCAATGAGATGGTGAGCAGGAAGTTAAGTTTTCATAAAATTATTAATTTGAGTCTGGAGTTATTGAGAAAAAAGGTCACTGGGAACATTGAATTAATCTTTGTTTTAATTTCTTTAATTTCATTTTCTTTAAAAAAATATTAAATAACTTTTAATTTGAAATATGTAGTGTTTTTTTTTTTAATTTGTTTTTCATCTTTCATTGTGAAAAAAGTCAATACTATAATTATATATGAATTTAAAAAGTGATTGTTAAATCGTACCAGTAGCCTATATACATGTGTTCTTTTAGGGGCACCTGGCTGCCGTACCTGTTCCATATAGAACGACACCAAGTGAGCCAACATTTTTTAACTTTGTTGATCCAAAAGATGGTATGTATGATTTAACTGCTGAAAAATACTTCCTTTTTATTTAATTTCTTTAAAAAAAATATACAAACAGCACATATAAAAAAAAAAAGATATCACTGAAAAAAGAATTCAATAGTAACTTATTTCTAAACTTCAATAATAAACCAAATTAGGTTTGTAAATTCTAAAAGACTAAAAACAATAAAATGAATTTTAAAGATAATTGCAGATAGGTTGTACCCACTGCAATTATTTTAGCAGAATTTTTAATTTCTGTCCAGATTATTATTATCAAATTTTCTTTGACAAAAACACTGTTATATTCCCATATATAGTCATGTTGTGATGTCATCATGATCATATTTAGGCATGTATGGGCAGGATTTTAGGCTACTGTGGGGAATACTACAAAACAAGACCTTGGAAAAAAATACTTGTCCACACATAATGACAAATTGGCCTGAACATTTACAAAACAAAAACGGTTTCAATTTGCCGAAGGTCTAATGAACTATTTTTAAAAATTCATAGGCAAGATGTGTTTCCCAACCAACATGGATATTAAATTCTGCAATCGAAGCGATATGGTTGATTTTGGAAAGCGGTGTCAGGAAATTGGAATCAACTTTGTTGGAATTTGTTGTGGAAATTCAGCTCACCTGACGCGTGCTCTGGCCGAGTCGTATGGACGCACGCCCCCAGCATCACGATACTCAGCCAAGATGGAGAACCATTTCATTTATGGAACCAATCCTTGCTTAGTTAAATATTTGAGCGTTGTAAGAGAATTGGACTTTATTCGACTTAACCAGACAAAACATCCCATTGGAATTTATATGCATGTATAATGAGAGTTAGTAAGGCAGCGGTGTCAGGAAATTGGAATCAACTTTGTTGGAATTTGTTGTGGAAATTCAGCTCACCTGACGCGTGCTCTGGCCGAGTCGTATGGACGCACGCCCCCAGCATCACGATACTCAGCCAAGATGGAGAACCATTTCATTTATGGAACCAATCCTTGCTTAGTTAAATATTATAATGAGCAGACACAGAAGCTGTTTTAGGGTTAATTTGGTATCATTCAATTAATGCATGGTTAAAAAAGTTGGGAACTATATATATATATATGATGAAGATACGATCTGTTGTGTTGTTTTTGAAAATTATTAGCTGTCTGCTGTTCAATCGTTCTTTTGGCAATATATATATATATATATATATATATATATAGATATATATATATATATTAGTGGTTATAGGAATTTTATATTTGGACCTGTCGATTTAATAGTGATGCTAGTACAGTATTGACATTTAACTATACAATGACAAACAAGCCTATTCAGTGCCGATCACTTGAGCGTTGTAAGAGAATTGGCAATAAATTCAAAATCATTGCACCACTCAATTGTTTTTGTTTTGTTCTTTTCTTGTTTTTGTTTTGAAGACATGCATCTTTCAAGACTTCATTGGCTTTCAGGTCAGAAGCATTCTTTACTACATTCCAACACTAACTTGTAAGTGTTATTGCTCTGCTCCTACTAATCCACAAAGAACTTTCTCAATATGTTCATACGTACGTGCGTTGGTAATGGTAGGACATTTTTGTAGAGCGCCTTCCTCAACAATGTCGTCTCAAGGCACTGACAGTATTCAGACCACAAATCATATTGAAAAAAAAAAAACTAGAAAAAAGTAAAATAACATTTTAAAAATAAAAAAAATAAATAAACAAGTCATTCAAGTAATGAAGTGAGTAAGCGACCAAAAATGTCAAATTATGAATATTGTGTTTGCAAATTCTTACACGAAAGGAAAATGCGCACTCCCGATATCGAGACGGCGTCGCCACCACAATTGTACGTACAGTATATGCACACTTACACAAGTACTGGCGTCGGTATGCTGGGCTCCAGTACCTTCCACATTAGATAAACCTAGGCTCTACTACCGTGCACTGTTAAAAAAAATCTTTAAAAAAAATAATGAAAAAAAAGTTCGCCATTTTAAATAAAGTAAAGACAAAAATGCAACCCATGGGTAATGTGCACGGAGTGGTTTGAAACCAAGATGATATAAGAATAAATAGCGCCAAAAATCATCGATCACTGGGTACCGTACTTTCCGCCGTGGGCCTATATTCTTCACTGTGTGCTTCAAAAAATCCAAAAGCGCGTTAAGGCCCACTCAGACAGTGTCGTACGACGCAGCCCGACGCGATTTGTTGTCGCGTCGGGTCTGTGTGAGTTCAACGCAGACGCGATGGTTTACGTCGGGGGCAGTCGCGTCGTAGAATATTAAACATGTTTAATATTTCTCACGACGGCTTAAGACTGTCCCCGACGATAAATCGGGTCGGGCTGCGTCGGCCGACGCTGTCTGAGTTGACCTTTATGAGTTGGAGGTTACCCCACTTAGATCTAAAATTTAACCCTGTAAACAGAACTATAAAGAAAACTCCCAAGGTTGGTATTGACTATTAATTTTTATTAGCTCTCTGATATATTTAACATAGTGGCCCAGAGGAAGTCAAAACTTTATCATGTACATGTTAAAATTTTAAGGATTGCAGATTCCTGATGCCTGATCCATGGAGAAGAAGCCCAATTGTTATAAATCATAAAGGTAAAACTTTTATATATCGTCAATAACAATCGTAAGCGTACTTATTTTACATGATAATTGACAATAGTGAACCAAAGAACAGTAAAAATACTTTTCGATTGTCCTGCAAAACAGGACTGTATGTCACCTAGTTCTGTGTTTTGTTCTGATCATTGTGTTTCGTCAATAGCCTTCTTTTCAAGTCATACGTAGTATCACCCCGATTTTGTGCCCGCCAAGTTCCATCTCTGTGTTTTGTTCTGTTCAATAGCAGGGGTAAGAAAATGTTGGTGTATTAACAGACAGTGCTCATTAAAATACATTCCCTACATGATGTGTACTATATACTTGCGGAAAACTTGTTGTATTTTGACTTGGCTGACGACTGACTGATGACACGTGAGATGTTTATGGATATGTTTAACATCGGACATTACGAAGAAATAAAAAGAAAAGCGCTTTAAAGAGATTAGTTGAAGAACTGAATCTCACAACTGAACTCATAAACGGACCAGCAGCATTGCAGATTGCTAATGAATGAATGAACTTTTGAACTAGGTTTATTTGATTTGCATCGCAGATCACACAGAGGTTTTTTTTTATGTTTACAGCGTGTACCAGCATGAACTGGTTGAAACTAGCGAAAAGTAAAAAGTAGGCCTACTCAGCCTGTACATAATTATTATTTTATACCATTATTACAAAATAGGCCGTTTTTAATATAAGTCTATTGCACCCATCACTGAAAGTTTTTGAAGCAAATATGCCTCGAAATGTTAAAGGTAGGTGATACAAGTTTTATTTTTGATTTTGAGCGCAAAGAAGCCGCCCGTGTGCACGATTTTGGTTTAAAGGGGAAAAAAACCGCAACCACTGAAATTACAAAACATTAAAAGCTGACGACCAGCGGGAGGTGCCTGGGGTCTGGGTCTGGTCTCAGCAAAAGGCCCTGAAGGGTACAGTAGGCCGTGGTAGGCCCACTAAACGAGCTACATCCCCCGGTCCATGGATCAAACATATGATTCCAGGGGCGGATCCAGCCGGGGGCCCGTGCCGGAATGAGTGCCATTCCGTGCTATAATCATTATATAGGTCCTTAATTAGACCTTTGCGACGCCCGTGAGTGAAGGGATGTCTAAGGGAGGGGAGCATAGCTCCCGTCGTAAAGAAGTCAATAGCGAGCTTTCGAAATTGGCGACGCGGGGAGTTGCGACGGGGAATTCAGTCAACCATGAACGTCATTCTATTACTTCCGTCTCATCAAAGCAGTTTCGATTTACAGGACACAAAACGAATGACTTCCCCACATATTCGCATGCGCAGTACGGTTTCACGCGCCACTGCCCGTCGTAGAACGCCGCGTCGTCCAAATCGAATGTTGTCGTGGAGGAACACTGTTTTCAAAAAGCACTTTACCATCTGAGATTGTCATTATTTCCGAGCATCTAGAGGAGCATAATCTTAAAATCTGCTCACGCTCCAGCCATGGTGGGCCTGAGGTGGGTGTGTTCTACCTGTTGCCCCCCCCCCCCGTCAGAAAATATCTGGATCCGCCCCTTTGCGACGCCAGTGAGTGAAGGGGAGTCTTAAGGGAGGGGGAGCATAGGCCTAGCTCCTGTCGGAAAGAAGTCAATAATTTTGTCGCAGAGGGCAGAGGAACACTGCTTTGAAAAAGCATTTTACCATCTGAGAGTGTCATTATTTCCGAGTTTCTAGAGGGGCATATTCTTAAAATTTGCTAACTTCAGCTCCAGCTATGGTGGGCCTGAGGTGGGTTCTACCTATTTAAATTTATTAACTGTAATTACAGGACTAAAGGAACGTTTAAAAAATGGTGAGACAATACTTATTGCTGAGGGTTACTTGTTCGTGTTTGAACGACGTGGTTACCTCCAGGCGGGTGCTTTCGTTCCAGAAGTGATCATTGAACATCCCGAGCTAGTGAAGGAGCAGCACAGAGAGTTTGTACATGCTGGTAGTGACGTCGTGTTGGCCTTTACGGTAAGCATATAATAATATGCAGAGATCCCAAGTCTCCACCAGGGGTGGCGCCAGCGGGGGCCCCCGTCGGAAAGAAAAAACAAATTCATAGATGAGTAAAAAAAATTATATGTATTTTCTACATATTAGTAGACTCGATTAAATAAGTCTTTGAAATCGATAAATTGTCATATATTTCGCCCCCTAGAACACTTTCGAGAGATTTGGAGCGACACCCGACCACGCCCACATTTTGTCGGCAGTGGTGGCGCCAGGATTTCCCAGACGGGGGCCCAAGGTCCTCGATGTGGGAGGTAGTCGAATGTAGCTAAAACCTGACCACGAAATATGACAATTTTGGGTTTTCGAAGGCTTATAATCGATTTTAGAGTCTATTAATATGTAAAAAATACAAATATAATTTTTTTTACTCTCCGACAGATTGTGGTTTTTTTCCTCGTGGGGGGGGGGTGGGGTGGGGTGGGTGTGCAAGGCCTCCCTGATGGGAGGATGTGTGCCCCCTGGCCCCCCGTAGAGCCACTACTGTTCGTCGGAGACATTGTTTCCCCCAGGGTACCTCGGACCCACCGTCGGACAAATCCTGGTGCCACCACTGGTTTCCACGACACGCGGGAGTCTCCGGAAATCGGGACGGACTCCCACGAGAAGTAAACTTTGTTCCATTAGTTATACCTATTTTATACCTCCATGGTTATACAGTATTTCTAAGTATTTATGTGCCTCAGTTCCATTAATTTTACCCTTGCCTATTATTAATATTATTGTAAAAATATTATGTTTTCATTATTTGAAAGACGATGGACTCTTCCATTTGGAAGACTGACGTTAAAACTAAGACAAAAGAACTATAAACTATAATAATATAACTTTATATGAAACGACGCTTTTAAAACAGCGGCGAACGCACTCTTGTTGCAGCGCGTTCGTAAAATTAACATACCTGTACAAACAATACAATACAAGACTTAATACAATAAAAACGTTAACAAATTCCACAAAAATTGAGTATTTACACTTAAAACGCCCATTAAAAAGTTTAGTAAAGGTTGTTGTAAAAATATTTAAAACGATATTACGAGATAAAAGAGATAAAATGTGATAACAGGATAAAAACGAAATTCCAAATTAAAAAAAAAAATAAGTCGTAAAATAAAATTGATATAAAAGTCATGCTTAAATTTTATGCCAACAGTAAATTTTGGTAATTGAGAACATATAAAATTTATAAAAGAAGACATACGGGAGTAAGATATATTGATAAAACACACAGTGACAATTCTCAAAATTTATACAAAGTGATGATTCGTTTTATGTTTAAAAAAATAACGTTTATTCCATGTACGTTTAATATAGTTTTTACAATATCTGTCAAATATGGAGCTGACCTCGTCACACTGTTGTTCGCACGAGTATAAATCAATGTTGCCGAGTGCCTACATCAGTTTTACATTTAGGTCACTTCTTATAATTCCCATACATAAACATTTCTCTAATTTTAAACTCGTCAATTCTAATTTCATTCAAGCGATTACATATAAAAAGAAAATATGTGATATCCTCAATTCCATTGTTACATAAATCGCATTTTCAGACCATTTACAAGCAATTGCAGAGGTAGCGGGCTTTGAACTTCAGACTTGCTGCTCTGAAATTATCTGTGTATATGTGTATATAAATTGCCAACGATGGCTTTGTTTGTGCACTTTCAAATAGCGTGGTTGCATCGATCTCTTTGAGACTTCTTACATAGGACTTTCCAGCCGTTTTCCGGTGGATAATTAATATTAAATACATATTCTGTACCACATAAATTGAGAATATCCTCGATTTTTATCCAGCCATTTCCACCTTAAAGGTGTTTTGTGGCGGATATGTGACGTTGTACTAACTAATAGTCGTCATATTTCTATGCTATTATAAATATAATAATAATAATAATAATAATAATAATAATAATAATAATAATAATAATAATAATAATAATAATAATAATAATTGTCGACTTATATAGCGCATATTGTAGAGACCTCTATGGCTTACATTATTACCCCTCAGTCACTGGATCAAGCACATATGGAACACACACTAAGGCCCCATGGGGAATTCCATAATGTTGCAAGGATGCTATTGACTGCCAAGTCACCATAGTTTTTCTTTTTTTTGGAGTCTTTCCATACCCTGGATATCTGTATGACCTCCCGCCAACCATGCAGCACAAGCATGGATAGAAAAGAGCGAGGGATTTCCAAAGTATATCTCCATAGTAAACACGATTATAGTCGTCTGGGTAATCGACTCGATTGAAGAATTGACTTAATATATCCAATCATTCTATTCCCTTTTTAATAACTTCCTGAATATGATTATGATCTGATAAATTTTGAGATATGCAACTAATGTATTTGTAGCTATCCACTTCAGAGATAGTATCTTTCCCTAGCTGCCATATTTTACCATTTATCAACCCATTTATTGGTCACTAATATCTTAGATTTTTCATGGTTGAATCTAAGTTTGAAGGCATTGCTGAAGTCAGCCGCTATATCCAGCCATCGGCATAGGCCTACGCTGTAATTCATTATCATTATTTGCTAGGATCATGACATCATCATATGTTTTTATCTTCTAGATAACATGAAATGGCATCAGAAATTAATATATTGAACATTTTTCCTACACATGAGCTAAGGGTTATGCCCCTGTATTTATCTAGAATATTCCTGTCACCCTTTTAAAGATCGGAATAATAATAGGCCTACCTTTGTTCCAATCTTGAACTATGGATTGTAAAGTTAACAATCGTTTAAAAAACATGCGAGTAGCATTATATAAACCAATTCCACCATTTTTTAGAAGTTCGTTAGTTATAGTATCAATTCCTGGAGATTTGTTATTTTTATACTTATTGAATGCCGATATAACATCATCCAACGATATTTCAACATCAAATAGATGAACGTCATCATTAAAATCATCATTTTGTTCAAAGCTATGGTTAATATTAGCGAGCATATTCTCTGTACATTTGACCTCCGTATCCTCTGCCATATTCAGATTCATCTGTCCAAGGGTTCTCCGGTAATGGGGAACCGTTTTATTCACGGTGGTTCTATCGGTTATAACCTGTTGCATATCTGGTAATTTAATGCAAGATATATCATTTTGTTTGTGGTTGTAGCCTTTAAGATTTTCCAAAAGTTTTTCTATATAGTTGTCTCAAGTTAAGAAGAATATTTTTATTTGTTGAAAGACATTCATTAGTTATATAATAACTTCTATGGCATTAATGTCTGCTTCAATATTTATTTGTCATAATTATTATTGATGTTTATAGTACTATGCCCACCGAAAAAAAATGCAAGTGATTGAAAAAGAGGCAGAGTTAGAAAAAATAAACCGAGAAGCATTGCGAATTGCAAAAGAAGTTGCGGATGAATCGGGGAAACTTCTGGCAGGAAATATCTGCAACACTGGAGTTTATGAGCCTGGGAATCAAGAGTCGTATGCAAAAACAAAAGCAATTTTTAAGGTGAGACATTTAACAATGGCGGGTCCAGAGATGTCCTAAAGGGGGGGGGGCGAAAGTGGGGCCGGTCGAGGTGACACTGCCTTAGGGTTCGAAATTGTTGTTGTCTAGACACCCGAAAATAACCTCTGAGGCATTTTGGGCTATCATTTTTTTCCTTTTCTTTCTTTCTTTTCCTTCCTTCCTTTTTTTTTTTACTTTCCAACAGGGGGAGGGGTGGTTTCCCCTAAATCCGCCCCTGACAACAGCAGGGGCGGATGTCCTGAAAGAAGGGGAACTGATCGCGAAACAACACTACCTTAGGGGTCCGGGGGCATGCACCCGGGAAATTTTTGTTTCTAGATGCCTGGAAATAATCTCTGGGGCGTTTTGGGCGATCAGTACTTCCCTTTTCTTTCTTTTTATTTTTACTTTTCGAAAAAAAGGGAGGGGGACAGGGGCCGGCTCCCCCCCCCCCTAAATCCGCCTCTGAACCCTGTTCATCAAGAATTTTTGAAACAGGGTGAAGGGCTTATTAGCTAATGTCTATGTCACCGACAGCTTGTTTTTTATTATCAAATAAATTTTTATTTGGGAAAGGGGTTTTTTATTTTGGTATTGCCTCTTTACCATCACCATTGTACATAATTATAATTTGTTGAAACATTTTTATGATTCTAGGAGCAGATTGAGTGGGCACTTGATTATGATGTGGATTTCATTCTTGCCGAGACATTCATAACACTGGGAGAAGCTAAACTGGCACTGGAAGCAATTCAGGAATATGGGAAAGGTGTGCCAGTATTTTGAAACATTCACTTCTATTATGCTTCTTTCTAAACTGGCTTTAAGTGTAGGACTATATATTCAGGGGCGGATCCAGAAATGTCCAAAAGGTGGGGGGGGGGCGAAAGTTGGGCCGATTGAGACAACACCGTCGTAGGGGGTCCGGGGCATGCCCCCGCGAAATTTTTCTTTTCTTTCTTTTTTTCTTTCTTTTTTTACCTCCCAAAAGGGGGGAGGGCCCCTCCTAAATCCGCCCCTGGTATTGGAAAGCATACACCCCACCACCCCCCACCCCTCTTTTCCAGGATACCATTTCTTTCTAATCATTAAATATGGATCTATATTATTGATAATTGTTAGGTACAACTGCCAATATTTGCTATCAAACAAAACACACACACACAAAACAATAAATATCACATCTAATATTAGAGGTAAACATACTTTATGATTGTTTCTGTTTACTAATTAGGTGTTCCATCTGTCGTTACTACATTCATCACTGCTGGAAATACTATCGATGGAGAAGTTACCACTCTCGATGGCTTCACGCTGCCGGATGCTTGTAAACAATTGGAAGATGCTGGAGCTGATGTCGTTGGCATGAACTGCTGTAGAGGACCTGACACAATGCTACCCATCATGGAGAAAGTTCGAGCCGTTTGTAAGGTAAGTTATTGTTATAGGTTGTAGATATAAATGAGGTTAGACACTGCATCATGTTAAATTTTCATTTTCAAAATATTCATTTGAGCCTGGAGTTATTGAGAAAATAAGGTAACCAGGAACATTAAATTAATTTTTGTTTTGTTTCTATAATTTGCCCTGGCTTTCAATTAATTCACGAATAAAGTATAAAATTCTACTACGTTTTTAAAGCAATGCAACTCCAACAGACAACTTACCTACTTGAACTCCTATAAATATGTCTCCTTATCAGTGGTGGCGCCAGAGGGGGCTGAGGGGCTATAGCCCCCTCGTCGGGGAAGCCTAGCCGCCCCCCCCCCTCGGGGAAGACGAGTACATACCGTCGGGGAATTAAAAAAAAAATGTTTTCAGGTCTGTTCGTTAAGCAACTATATCGTCTTAATCGAACTATTTGTGTACTGTTTGTGTTAACATTTCATCACAATAAAAAAAACAATAACGATAATAGTAACATCAATCTACGTGCCGTTTTATTGTAAGCTATCTTGACTACTGTATATATTACTTTTCCCATTGACTTAAGCCCATGAAACAACAGATATTCTTCACAGTAAATTCAGCGTTCAAACATTAAATTATTGGAACGTAAGTCAGCAGAACAGTGTCAAAATTAGATGGTTACATTGCATAGGCTACACTTTGTTTCTCATGTTTTTATTTAATATTTTTCGGTTTTGGAAGTTGACTTCGACATTACCCCCCGGGCCTTTATCCCCACTGTCGGGCAGATCCTTGTGCCATCACTGTTCCTTATCCTTCCTCCGTTCTTCTGACCTTAATCTGCTCAGTGTTCCAAGCGTTTACACCAAATACAACGGCCACAGATCATTTTTAATTTCAGCTGCCACACTTTAGAACTCCCTTCCTAAATATATTGTCGACTCATCTTAAGTTGCTATTTTTAAGACCAAACTCAAAACTCACCTTTTTAGCATCTAAACATGCACAGCGCCTTGGCTTTTTACTTCGGTTTAGTGATATTGGCCTTTTATAAGTGATTATTATTATTTAATTCATTTCATTTTCTTGAAAAAAAAATTTTAATTTGAAGTATGTAGTGGTTTTTTTATATTTGTTTTCATCTTTTATTGTGAAAAAAGTAAATAAGATAAATGAATTTAAAAAGTGATTATTAAATCGCAGCCTATACTTTCGTTCTTTTAGGGGCACCTGGCTGCCGTACCTGTTCCATATAGAACGACACCAAGCGAGCCAACATATTTTAACTTTGTTGATCCAAAAGATAATGGTATGTATGACTTAACTGCTGAAAAATACTTCCTTTTTATTTCATTTTTTATAAACAAAATACAAACAGCACATACAAAAGACAGATATCACTGGAAAATGAAGTAAATAGTAACTTATTTCTAAACTTTAATAATAAACCAAATTAGGTTTGTAAACTCTGAAAGACTAACAAAAATAAAATTATTTTAAAAGATAATTGATGAAAAGTTGCACCCAGTGAAATTACATAATAGTACTTTAATTTATCTGCATTTTTCCGACACTTCAATTCATATGTAAGAAACCAACAGTAGAGGCCGGCATATATCATTAGGAAACTGGCAAAATTTTAAAGCTCTGTCCAGATTATCAACTGTTGTATGCCCATATATAGTCATGATGTGCCTATATATGGTCATAATGTGATATCATCATGATCATATTTAGACATGTTATATGCTTTTGTCAAAACAAATTTGATAGCTGGGCAGGGATTTAGGCTACTGTGGCAGGGGCGGATTCAGAATTTTTCAAACGGGGTGGGGGAGGGGGTAGGGGAAAACATATTCAGAATAGATAAGTGAGAGCGCTAATTTCAATATGCCTTTAGTTTAGTGGCAAAACGGGAGGGCACGTGCCCCGCGTGCCCCCTACTGGATTCGCCACTGTGTGGGGAATACTACAAAACAAGACTTTGTCCTCACATAAGGACAAACTGACCCAAGAAAGATATCAACTTAATTACTATACTGACAAGAAGGTCAACTCATCCAAAACAGTTACAAAACAAAGACGACTTCAATTTACCGAAGGCCTATTAAACTATTTTTTAAATATTCATAGGAAAAATGTGTTTCCCAACCAACATGGATTTTAAATTCTGCAATCGAAGTGATATGTTTGATTTTGGAAAGCGGTGTCAGGAAATTGGAATCAACTTTGTTGGAATTTGTTGTGGAAATTCAGCTCACCTGACGCGTGCTCTGGCCGAGTCGTATGGACGCACGCCCCCAGCATCACGATACTCAGCCAAGATGGAGAACCATGTCAATTATGGAACTAATCCTTGCTTAGTCAAATATTATAACAGTAAGCAGACACAGAAGCAGTTATAGTTGGAGAGGATGCAGGATTTGGCGGTAGTGGGTGGGTGCAAAAATTTGAGGAAATAGTACCTGTGGCCGGAAATGACACTTTTATATAGTAAAATTCATCATCACATTACTGTAATATGAGTGATGAACCATGAAAATAAAACTATAGAAAAACTGATGTATTTAATTTACTTGATGTACTCAAAGCTGTGTGGAAAAGTACCTCTAGATGGCCGGAAATGACACTTTTAAATACTATAGTAAAAAATGAAGCGCCAACAAACTCTCATGATCTTTTATCAGCTATACTATATTCGGCAACCATAGAAAATCTAATTAGTATGTGTGACGTATGGTACCATAGTAAATAAAACTTGAAAACATTGTCTTTGATGTATTTCTTGTAGCTAACATGAAGTAAGCTCGTAAATAGGTCCTTTCCTAAGTGAATTAATTCAAGAGTTTGAGCTTCTTTTCAGGATAGCATTGATTTTATTTTTCCCGAGACATTACAGTACATAGGCTACACTGTATATGAATTTCAAGAAAACAAAAAAAAATAATGGAAAAAATGCTTGGTTTATACAGAAGTTAAGGTAATTTAATACATTCCATGACACAGATCGATGTTACAGTGGTCCTATTTATTGTTTTTTAGTAGTAGGCCTAATTCCCAAAATTTACAGCATTCATTTTGAAAAGAGCACCCCCACCCTTTTTTTACTTTGCAAAAATAGCCTCGAAAAGAAGCCCATCTCGAAAAGAAGCCCTTCCAAAGTTCGTAAAAATTCAGGATTTTACAGTATGGCCTACTCAGTGCCGTAACAGTATAGGACTACATTTGACTTAACAAGACAAATCCTCCCATTGGAATTTATGTGCATGTGTATATATAATATGAATCAGTAAGGCAGCCTCTGGGGTCTAAATTTTACTCTGTGGGTGTATGTGTATGCTTTAGAATGTGGAGGCCAGGAATTTGAAGTGGAGGTAATTGCCTTAATTTTTATAGATTTCGCAAAAGCTTTCGACTCAGTTGACAGGCAATTCATGATTAAATACTGTAAAAATAGCCCAATTAGCAGACGATACTGTAATATTTGCAAAAGATGAGGTCGGTATAATTAACTTTTTCAAGGAAATTAAAAAGATTTGTGCTGTATCTGATCTGAAATTAAATAAAGACAAGACCAATGGTTTGTGGATTGGTTCTAACAAAATATTTTGTTTGCAAATTCTTACACGAAAAGAAAATGGGCACTCCCGATGTTGTGACGGTGCCGCCACCAGAACCGTGTACACACAGGTATTGGCGTCAGTGTGCTGGGCTCCAGTACCTTCCACATTGGATAAACCTCGGATCCACTACTCATCACTGCTAAAAAAAAATCTTAAAAAACTACAATGTGACATACAATTTGTTCTATCCAAATGGTAATTTTTCACGAACTCATCTCTACTTTGTCACTTTATCAATTTAATATCCTAAAAACCAGTTTATCAGTGCATTGGTATACAGTGTTTTTAAAGTAAAAGGTAGTAATGTAGATTAATTAATTAACATGAACCGGCCGAATTAATATCATTCAATATCATTTCACTACATATGTTTGGATTATAATATAGTAGGCTATTCATCATATCTTATGTCATAATAGTGATAAAGATATATGACGTAACCGCCTATATCAGATGTCCCAGGCATTAAAGTTGTCATTGGATACACAAAAATACAAATTGTAATAGCATTATCAAATTCCTTTAATAGCAATTGATACGGTTTACCGGCAATAACAGCCTACTAACCTATGCACTACCTTTGAATTCACATACTTCAGTGCTTGTTATGATAGAGAAATATTTATAATTTATACATTAAATAAACAAACTTCACAATATGCAGTTTATATTTAGCAACTAGTACGGCTAATCGTTTATACCTGGTACAATAGATAATTTTCGTGATAAGTGAGGGCGCACGCCATCCCTGACCCTAAGCAAGTTATAGCTAAATATATACACCTACTTTATTATCTAGAAATATTTGACTTAATATTAAGCATAGAGGTGCCACATGAAAATTTTACAGTTAGCACTTCAACAAACATTAACAGCATTTTAAAGATATTTTTCAACATTTTGAGGTCACATTCTGAATGTTAATTTTATACCAAGACTATAGATAATTACCAATCAAAAATGGAAATGGAGATAGAGTCTGAAATTATGACTTAAATAAAATCATTTATTGATTAAAAATTACTTCAATAAAACTAGAGGTAAAATTAATGATGTTTTAATGATTTTTATGAGTAGTAAATTCACTCTAAATGTTAATAGAGCGAGATAAAGTACAATATAGGAGGAGATATAAATACTGTACTAGGCAAGATAAGCATGGATTAAATGTAATTTTCAGAACTTTAAATTCCAAAAAACAGGAGATTGATAATTTGTCCCAAGTGCATATTGCTGCAATACCTAACATCACAAGGGAAGTTTACAATATTCAAAACTTAGAAGGAATCTTGTGATTACTACATTAAAAGAATAACATGTCAACCATTTAGTGACTGCTTAAGGTTGGTGGATTCCCATATTTGTCTCAAGGGGAAAGAATTATTGGTTTGGACCCATGAGCCTGTCTTTTGTAATGAAACATCCTGCATTGCAACAAATTGTTAATAACTATTTTTGATGCCCAAAATTAAAATCTAGCAGAGCTTTGATTCAAATATCCTCAAATCTAGACATTACAGGTGTGTTAGAACCGATATCATGAGCCACAGATTATTTATATCTCCTGCAAAGGTGATATTTCAAATGAGCCCATGTCATAATAACAGTCTATCTTAATGTAAACAAAGGATGACAATTCCATATTACAGCAATATTCCACTACTGCATTAAGTTTAGTGGTGTATCTAGGAATATTGAAATGGAGGAGGGGGGAGATAATGGGGTGGGTCGAAGGTGAAGGTCAATGATTAAGTGAGGGGGAACTAGCCCACAAAATTAGGTAATTTTCAACTAATTGAGCATGATTTTTTTCCTTTGGACATTTTCAATGGGGGGAGGGGGAGAGAGGCTTGCTAGTATATATTTTTTGGGGGGAAGGGGGCCTTGTACCACCCCTTAAATATGCCACTGATTAAGTTTACACTTAGCAATTACATTTATGTTTAAGTTCTGGATAATCTAGCTGCTGACAGGTACAGCATCTCTATATTACACCACAGAAGTTGAGTAAAGCTATAACTTGGTGGTTTAGATGCTTGACTCGCAATATCAGGGTCTTGCAGTCCTGTCAGGAACAAGGAGTTTTCCAAGAAGATGTTGAAGACACTGTAACAATAAGTGCATAGTTCCTCTGTACTTTCATACTGTTCAATCAAGAAATACAATGAGTGTGAATCGGTATAGAAAAAATATTTCCATATAGGACAATATGTGCATATTATATAATGATATTTATTGAACACCTGTATAGCATCAAATGGATCATATCATCAGATAAACACTGGTAAATTATTTTAGTGTTACCTTAGTTAATAATTAATCATTTTCTTGATTGCATCAAAACATCTCCATTTATCAGGAAGGTAAAACGGCTCAAAAATGTGTGGAAAGGGCGTGTCCCAACCACACACTCTTTGTATAGGAGCTTCTAGATGGAGAAAGCATTCATTCTGCAACAGAGGTATGAAAAAAAGTAATGATACACAGAGCTAATAAAAAAAAGCTGTTTATAAGACTACAATAGGTCAATTTGCTACCAATATTTGCTGATTCAATGGAAATAAAAAGTCAAAATTCCTTTTTAAAAACAAAAAACTAGGAACTCTCATGATAATGCTTGTTACGATCCAGCTTGAGAAAATCTGTTTCTCATGTTGCAGTGACATACTGGCCAGGGTCATTGGATACCACGCAATAACTAGGCCAACGACATGGTCATTGAGAATATCTTGCTTTAACTCATTTGAATGTGTAGTATTTTGTACTACTTTTCCTGCATGTACCAGACTTTTATTACCATTCTTTTTGTATTTTATTGATGCTGATATTGAATGAAGAATGATTTACACACAAGAAACAGCCGGCTATAAACGATTAAGACTATTCTAGCAACCCAACAATATATCTTGGTCATAAATATATATAGCCATGATTATGATTTTGGAATTTTATGTTTTTAAGGTATTGCGATACCAAATTATTGAATATTCATGAGATAAAATTATGCAAAAATATTATTATAGTACCTGGATTGTGGTTGCAATCTCGCCAGCAAATCCACCTGTAATTGGCGCTTCATGAGCAATAAGCAGACGACCTGTTTTTGTTACAGACTAGAAAAAAGAAAAACATAGCAAATTCAGTATTTCCCAACACTATGTTAATAATCAAATAAGAGCAAAAGTGTTATCAAATTGCTGAAGGCTTTTCTGTTGCCTGTTATATGAAAGAGGTGCTTAATTAAGAACTGAGCTTATTACAAACTATTATCTTATCTAATTTAATGGTACCATGTGCTGTACAAGGCCCATCTGTCTTGTTACAAATGACTATGATTTGTTTAACAGTATCACGTTGGGTAATATATACTGTCCATTAGTCGCTGTGATGCTTATTTTAACAATTTAATATATCTAATTAGCTGTGTGGCACAATTTAATAGTGGTGATTACAGTACCCAAAAATAAATCATGTTTGGTATGGTGCATATTCAAGAATGGCACTTATCTGAGAGACCTATTCAATTATTTACAGTACTGTACTAAATATTTTTATGACTACTGTATTATTGTCATTCTTAAGGTTCTTATGGTTTAATCCCATCACTGCTCCTCTTGTGTTTTCGCTAGAAACGCAAGTTTCAAAAGTGCAAAGTCTTTCGGATGAGATGTTCAAGCCTTTGGTCCTGTGTGCAAAATGGCTCATGAGTACGTTTAACAACGCAGTACTATACACTCTTCAGAAAAGAGAAGGGGATTGTTTCCCGGTGTATCACCTAATGCACCACCAGAAAGACACCACTGGAAATAAGTCTGAGGACTCAGTGGGTTATCCTCAGTGTGTATCCAATACACTGCTTTTATTATTAATGTTAATATATTGTAATTGTTATCATATCATTACTGTTATTTCTATTAGTCTTCGGCAGACTAATCAAGAGAGACACTTATCGGATTCATGTATTCAATGCAGTACTATACACTCTTCAGAAAAGAGAAGGGGATTGTTTCCCGGTGTATCACCTAATGCACCACCAGAAAGACACCACTGGAAATAAGTCTGAGGACTCAGTGGGTTATCCTCAGTGTGTATCCAATCCAATCCAATACACTGCTTTTATTATTAATGTTAATATATTGTAATTGTTATATCATTACTGTTATTTCTATTAGTCTTCTGCAGACTAATCAAGAGAGACACTTATCGGATTCATGTATTCAATACTTTATGATCATTCTTATGATTATCATTGCTATTATCATTATCATTGCTATTATCATTAATATTAGTATATTATCATCATAATATATATCATTATCATCATTATCATATTATGATTTCTCTTATCCTGTAGACTTTAGTATAGTGTATATGCAGATTGGTAGTTTAACATTAATAACAAAGGTAAACAATTCTCAGTTTACCTTTGCAATCGTATCAACATCCCATGGCAAGATAGTCTGCAGATCGATGAGTTCACACGACACACCCAACTTTTCTTGCACAAGCTCGCAGACACTACGCATCACATGAACTTGTGTGCCCCATGCAACTAACGTCACATCGCTCCCTGAAAAAATGTGAAATGAAGCATGTTCATTCATAATAATTGTCTCCCAAATCCAGGTCTCATCGACAACAATTCTAAGCACCAAGACTTCCCATGACAAATTCTCCATTCTCCGGTTGCATGATAATTTTATATAATCTAGGGTCACATAGGATTATCTTTTCTTTCACCCTAAAAAATGTATTATAAGTTAAACATGGTTTAAAAAGATTATATATTTTTGTAGTTCTAATTAATCTGATATTACAACAATTACAAAGTTTGAACTTACCTTCAACCAACACTTCTGCTTGAGACAATGGAATTTCATAATCAGCAATGGGCACTTGCTCAACTACAACAAACGGTTAATAATATTGTTGAGAATATAGTCATGAGAATATTTGAGGCTTGCCATTCAAAACCAGCATACTGTTGCTAATTGCTAAACTGGGTATTTAGCATAAGAATGTGCCAGTATTATATGTCTTAATACAGAAAAGCTGAAACATACTCATTTTACATTGGCAATATTAAATGGATTTTTAGTAAATGACCCATCATTCTGACAAAACTTATGTGGTGAATATATGAATATATTAAAAAGTTAATTTTTATGAATATATGAATATATTAAAAAGTTAATTTTTATGTTGTTGTCACTGATGCTGGTTTTGACACGTGAAGCCCCATTTGTGTAAATATACAACCAAAAAATTAAAAAAAGAAAACAATGTAAAAGGATGCAGAATTATGTGGCACATGTCCGGGGAAGCCAAACCGACGGGGCACCAAAATGAGCTTAGACAAAAATTACATTGTCTTTCAGATGAGTACGAATTATAACATCAGAGCAGATATATTCTGGGAAATAAGTGGTTTTCTCCACTATAGGTTATCCCTGGTTACACCTTTAGCTGAATGTTTTGTTCTCTAATAATTTTAATCCCTTTCTTAACTACATTTACATGGTGCTTTTTAAATTTTATTGTTTTGTGGTTGTTTCTAGAATATTTTCATAATATTTTACTTTTAGGGATTTTAAAGTGGAAACAACAAAATTCAAATCAAATCAAATATTAATGTACTCAAGCTCAGAACAAAGAATCTTCAAGCAGGAAAGGGGTGTTATTTCCCTTCTTGCCTTGAGAGCAAAAGAAAAAACCCTAGTTAACCCCCTGACTGGATCTTATTTGAGGAGCAGAGGTGTAGTTAAAAGCAATTATTTAATACTATAAAAACCAAGAAATTACTATGAATGACTTTAAGCCAATCATAATATTTATTTCACTTGTAAATTACTTAATTACTTCACAGGTGGTGTAAACCATAAGGTTTGATTGAATATAAAACCTGTACTATATTACACTTACCAGCCATTCTGTATAAAACCTTAGGCTCAAAAAATATACATGGATTATTGTCACGAATGCAGGATAGAAGCAGGCCTTTTGCTTGAATAGGACCTCTTGGAACAACAACCTACAACAAATATATACAATTTATTCATTCA